GTAAAGTTTTTCATATTTAGAAATTATCAAAATCATCATCACCACCATCATCATCATCAACACCATCACCACCATCATCATCACCATCATCATCATCATCAACATCACCACGACCATCATCATCATCATAACCACCACCCCCACCATCATCATCACCATCATCATCATCATCACCAGGTACATCGTCATAGTGCATCCGTTGAAGTCACGTACTTGGTGCGATAGTGGCAGAGCCCTGAAGATCATCATCGGCCTGTGGACGCTGGCGGGGCTACTATCGTCGCCACTCCTGTTTTCGCAGGTTATGATGATGATAATGAGAATGTGTAGATGATGATGATGGTTGTGGTGGTGGTTGTGGTGATGATCGCATTGATGGTGACGACGATGACGATTATGAAGATGACCTCTCCCTTTCAAAACTTCTTTCCCGCTCTGTCATCCATTATTCATTTTTTTATTTCTATTTTTTACTACTTTATATATTTTATTTAATAATATTTTTTATTTATTTATTCCGTATAATTTGATTTAATTCAAATTTATGGTGCTCAAAACAAGAAAAATATACGTCTTCATTACAAGTTCCAAGTTTCATTACAAGTTCATGTTTCGTTAATTAACTACGAACTAAATTTTGTTTACGATTGGGTTGTTTCAAATAATCTACGTATCAATTTAAGTAAAACATGTTTTATATTATTTGGTCCTAAAATTAGAACAGATATTGTTTATCCAGTTATATATTTAAATAATATTACTATTGAAAGGGTTGAGTCATTTAAATTTTTGAGAATTATTTTGTCTTCTAACTTATCTTGGTTGAATCATATCAAACATATCTCCTGTAAACTGTCTAAAAACTTGGGTCTTATTTATCGATTGAGGTTTAAATTTCCTAGATTTATTTTAACAACTTTATATAACTCTCTTATTCTTCCTTATTTGACGTATTGTGTTTCTGTTTGGGGTGATACATCTAAATCAAACCTTCATATTTTAACTCTAGCTCAAAATTTTTTTCTTCGCATTCTGTTTAAATTAAAGAGATTTGACCATGTAAGTTCATACTATAAAACAGCAAATATCCTTACCATAAACCAACTACACATTATTTATCTATTACTATCTTTTTTTAAAATATATAAATTAAATTATTGTCAATCTCTTAAAGATCAGATTAATTTATTTAAAAATACTAGGCAAAATTGTTTACGTTCTAATTCTCAATTTTACTTTTTGAAACCTAGAACAAATTTTTTTCTCAACTCCGTCTTATATATCTCTATGCGTCTTTGGAATTCATTACCGATGACTACTAAAAATTCTTCTTCCCTTGCTCTATTTAGAAAATCTATCTATTTGCTCATTCAGTCTAATTATTTCAACCATGTCCTCTGTTAATGGGATTGTTTTCCGTTATGTACTTTATATTTATTCAATTTTAAGAAAGTTTATTTAATTAATCTTATTTTTTCTTATTTATAGAACTATCATTATTTCATTGTGAAATATGAACATTTCGTTTCAATTTATAATTTTGGTGTAAATTTTATGGTGGCCCAACAAGTCATATCTTCGGGTCTCCTAGCTTTTTGCTGAATAAACTCATTATTGAATTGAATTGAATTGAATACACACACACACACACACACACACACACACTTTCTAGTACACATGACACATACACACACACACACACACACACCTATATACATAAAAATACATTACACACACATCAACAAAGCACTCATATACATACATAGGTACGCACACACATACACACACAAATGTACACACACACGCATACACACGCATACATGCAAGCATACACAATGACATTGTTAAAAGTTTCTTCCTCATGGGAGAAATATTTTTAAATTTTATTTTTTCTGATTTTTGTTTTATTGAAATGAGTTTTTTTTCTGAATTCGTGTGTTTTTTGTATTTCAGCACATACATACAAACACGCACATACATACATTCATACATATATATACATATATGTATATACAAACATACAAACAAATTTATTTTTAAATGCCGAAAGAAACCATAAAAATACATAAAAATATGCATCATAACCTCCTTGATTATATTATATACAAACGAATACCATTGTATGGTATGGTATGGTTTTGTATTTTCTTTTTAAATTTAATATTCTGATTTTTGTGTGTGTGTGTGTATGTTTGTGTGTGTGGATGTGTGTGTATATGTGTTCGTGTGTGCGTGTGTGTTCCTGACTTTTCAGTCTTTGTTTTTTGCACAATTTTTTCACAGCGTTCAAACTAGGCAAGGATTGAAAAAGGTTACTTTAACACGATGTTGTCTTATCAGCTAATGATTCTTTTGTTCGTAGGTGTGTGTGTGCGCGTGTGTATGTGTGTGTATAAGTGTATTGTATGTACGTATGTATATACATGTGTGTATTGTGTATGTGTGTGTGTGTTTGTTTATGGTAGGGATTGTTTATAATTGCGTGTTTTGTAGATATGTATGTATGTGTGTATGTGTGTATGTATGTATGTATGTATGTATGTATGTATGTGTGTGTGTGTGTGTGTATGTATGTATGTGTGTGTGTGTGTGTATGTATGTATGTATGTATGTATGTATGCATGTATGTATGCATGCATGTATGTATGTATGTATGCATGTATGTATGCATGTATGTATGTTTGTCTGTCTGTCTGTCTTTCTGTTTGTTTGGCAAAAAGCGAAGATGTATTTAATTACGTTTGTCGAACCGTTAATACGATTAAAATTTCCATTACTTTATCGCAGCATAAAAAAGTTTTTTTGATCATCCTCATCATCATCATCGTCCTGTTCCTCATCATCATCGTCCTGTTCCTCATCATCATCTCCTCATCATCATCTCCTCATCATCATCGTTATCATTATCATTACCGCGATCACCGTCCTCACCATCGTCAGTAATAATATCATCACTGTTATATCATAATTTTAAAAAAAATGACCCAAAAAATCAAAAAACCTTCTAAAAAATTCAATTCCAAGTTTACATTTAATTTAATCAGCGTTCACAGCCCTAGAGAACCCAACTAACACCCACTCTTTTTTTGGTTTTCTTATCTCATTTTTATGTCTGTCTGTCTATCTGTCTGTCTGTCTGTCGGTCTTTTTGTCTGTCTGTAAATGCATATGTCTATGTGCTTGTCTGTTTGCATGCGTCTGTTTTAGCGTGCGTCTGGGAATGTTTTTGTCTGTCTGTGCCTATCAGTCTGTCTAAGAGTGGGGGTTTGTCTGTGTCTGTGTCTGTGTCTGTTTACGCTTGTCAGTCAGCAAACATACATATAAACATATATACAAACATACATACAAATACAAAATTTTCTTTTCCCAAACAAATACAGACACACGAATACCGTCACGTTTGAAACGTATTGAGGTATTAAAAGCCAGTAAACTCTGCTCTTAAGGTCGTCATTATCATCATAATCATCACCATCATCTACGACATCATAATTACCACCATCGTCTGAAACATCACCATAATCATCATCATCGTCATCACCATCGTTGTCATCATTATCACAATTTCAAATATTTTTTTAATATTTTCCGTGAGCTAACAGGGTTGTGTGATTTCTGATTTGGTGTGTGTTGTGAATGTGTGTGTGTCTGTCTGTGTGTGTGTGTGTATGTACATGTGTGTATGTGTGTGTTTGTGTGTATATGCGTACAAGAAGAAGAAGAAGATAATTGTAAACCACAAAACACACCAAAGTTAAATCCAAACGCATCCGAATAGGCTCGCATGGTAACGATAATGTTTTTGTTTTTCTTCTTCTTCTTCTTATCTTCTTATTATTTTTTGTTATTCTTATTATTTTATAATAATATATTATTATGATGATAATAATAATTCTATTATTATTATTATTATATTATTATTATATTGTTATTATTATTATTATTATTATTATTATTATAGGACGACAACCTAGCTTTCTAAATGGATTGACCAACAAAAT